AAATGGAGGCCAGCGGTTGAGCTTGGACCTAGGATCCAGGACACCCGGTTAGATTCCCGGTCGGGTTGCGGGCTCCATCCCCAGCAGGAGGCATGCAGGAAACAGCTGATCAGTGACAACTCTCTCACTGATGTTTCAACTCTCCTTCTCCCGTCCTCTCTCTGAAATCAGTAAAGATATATATAGTTTTTAAAGTGGAAAAAATATCCTTCGGTGAGGATTAACCAATATATATATGGAAAAGACAGTTGTAATTTTTTAAAAACCATTTATAGGGAGTTTCAGTTTTTAATTTCTTAAAGGTTTCTCAATTTTAAAACTTGGCTTATAATTCCCACAGTACATTAAGGCTTAAGAAAATTAGCATGAAGGATGAAGGCCTCTTGCTATTAACTGGAAATCTTCTGAAATTATTGGATAATTTTTCCATTACATAAAGAGCAATTGGCCAATGAATAAATAAAAAGATGCTTATCTTACCCTGGCTGAGTGGCTGTCAATTGGAGCATTGGGGGTTCTAGTCTCAATCAGGGCATATACCTAGGCTGAGGGTTCAATTCCAGGTCGGGGTGTGTACAGGAGCAGACAGATGTTTGTCTCTCACACCGATGTTTCTCTCTCTCCCCCTTCCTTCCTCTCGCTCTAAAATCAATAAACATATCCTCAGGTGAGGATTAAAAAAAATAATGCTCATCCTATTAGGAATCAGGGAAACACAAAATAAAACTACACATTTCACACCCTCAAAATTTGCCAAAATTTAGAAGTCTAATATTACTAATTGTTAACAAGTATGCAGAGGAAAGGGAATTCATACTGCTAAAAGGAATATATTCATCTACCCCTGGAAACAATTTTTTATTGTTGTTAATCCTCACCAGAGGATATTTTTTCCATTATTATTATTATTATTTTTTTTAGAGAGAGTGGAAGGTCAAGAGAGAGGAAGCAGAGAGAAACATTGATGTGAGAAACACATTAATTGGTTGCCTCCCGCACACGCTTCAACTAGGGCCAGGGATCAAAACTGCAACCCAGGTATGTGCCCTTGACCTGGAATCGAATATTTGACCCTTCAGTCCATGGACCAGCGCTCTAACCACTGGGCCAGGGCTGGAAACATTTTTTTTTTTTTTAATCTTCACCTGAGGCTATTTTTTCCATTGCTTTTCAGAGAGAATGGGGGAGAGGGAGAGAGGGAGAGAGAGAGAGAGAGACATCGATGTTAGTGAGAAACATCAATTGGTTGCCTCCTGACCTGGGTGGGGATCGAGCCTGCAACTGAGGTATATGCCCTTGGCTGGAATTGAACCCAGGACCCTTCAGTCAGTGGGCCAACGTTCTAACCACCGAACAAAATTGGCTAGGGCAACAATTTTTTACTTAGAAAGTAGACTGTATCATTCTACTCCTAGTACATGTGCACCAAGAGGTATTGTTTTAAGAGCAAAAACAACTGCAAACAGCCCAAATGTCCATCAACAGTAGAAATGGCAAACTGAAGTATATTTTGAGCAGCAAAAGCGACTGAACTACAGCTTCAGGAATCAACATGAATGAATCTCAAAAACTGTTGAATGAAATAATCAAGTCTCTGAACAATACATTCAATTTCATTCCATTTAGATAAGATTCAAAAAATAGGCACAATAAACAAAATACTGTTTAAAGCACACACATAAGTTGTAATATGGTAAAGAAATCAAGAGAATAAAGTCCAGGACAGTGGAAAGGGAGGTAAGCACAGATAGTCAGGGACTTTTGATGGTTAGCACTAAGTGATTTTTTAAAAAATGGTGGGTATAAAGTGTTTGCTTTATTATTATTCTTTAAATTTTCATGTTAAATACAAACTTTTTATGTAAATGGTGGAAATATCCAGTAAATGGAACCATACAGGGTATGTAGCCCTTTGTCTGGCGTAAAGCATTGGAGATGCATTTGTGTTGTCCTGCGTATCAGTAGTTCCTTCTTCTTGCTCTAGTAGTACCCCATTATATGGATGCACCACCGTGGTTTAAGTCTTTGAAGATTATGAATAAAGTCACTCCAAACACGTGCATACAAGTTTTTGTGTGAACACAAGTTTTCATTTCTCCTAGGTAGATATACCTAGGAGTGAGATTGCCAGATCACATGCTAAGTGTATGTTTAACTTTATACGAAATTGTCCAACTGTTTTCCAAAGTGGCTGTATCCTTTTGCATTTCCACCAGCAATGTATGAGGGTTCCAATTGCTCTGCACCCTCACTAGCATTTGCCATTGTCAACTTTGTGGGGACAGGGAAATGATTTTGCTGTTTTCATTGTCTGTAAATTATTTTTAATCACAAAAATAATACACAATCTTTGTAAAAATCTGTGGGGTTTTGACACTCTGGGTGTAGAGGGGGATGTGGATTTAGTCTACGCCATTGTCTGGATCTTTGAAGACCGGGGGTCTTTCAGCATTTCTGATTGTCAATAGAAAACTTTAACATTACCAAGCAGGAAACAAATGGTTTTGACATCACTGTAAAGAGTTTCAGGAATAGTTTAGTTTTGTGCTTTGTTTCTTCCAAAGAACCTGGGCCCTTTCCTGGGATTGTGGACATTTACGGAGCTGGAGGTGGCCTTCCGGAATATCGAGCTAGTCTGCTGGCTGGGAAGGGTTTTGCTGTGATGGCTCTGGCTTATTATAACTATGAAGACCTCCCCAAGGGCATGGAGAACATCCATCTGGAGTACTTTGAAGAAGCTGTGAACTACCTGCTTAATCACCCTCAGGTTGGAATTTTTCTAAGTTTTGTGGTCTACATATCAGGAGTGCTCTTCATAAATGCTCTTGGTTTTCAAGAACTTGACAAATTCATGACAGCCACTCCCTACCCCAACACACTACTTTTTATAGTCACTTCTCATAGACAGTTTCTATGCAATTATGTATTATTATGATATATTTCCTGCTAGTAAAGAAGTTCTCAGTTGGCATTATGGAATTTTAAATTCTAGTGGTTTATAGTATTTCATAATGAGCCCCAACACATTTGAGAACCCTGGGTTTGACACAGGAAGTAGAGGGAAAGGGGAAAGGACGCTGCCTCCAGACAGACCCAGTTTAATGTCTGTGTTTAACAACCCTTTTCCTCCTGCTGCTGCCCCCCCACCCCATGAGAGAACAGTATTGTTTTAAAGGAAGAATTTGACGGCCAAAGAGCCTGCATACTAAGAAATGTTTTTGAGAGTTCTAGGCTCAGGGTGTCAGAAGATTATTTTACAATTCAGTTAGAGCTCATGGTAGATGAGTGACAGGGTCTACTGGAATCAGAATAAGATGTGTATAGTGAAAAGTTAAATCTGAGTTTTGATTTCACCAAATACTTGCTCTGGGGCTAGCTTCTGTTTCTTCCTTTGAAAAACTGGGATAATAGTATCATTTAATTCCTAATACTTTCATGAGGAATAAATGTTTGAAACCAGTCAAGGGTGCTGTTGTAGAAGCCATGAGGACAAAAAAAAAGACTGCTGTTGAGAGGTCAATCAAATGGCCATTTGTAACACAGGATTGTGGTAACTATGACAAGAGCAGTCCTTGTAGAATAGCACAAACCCAAATTACCCTGGAGGAGACAAGAAAGAAAACGACTAGGGACTTTTCCCACAAATTTTGCTGTGAAAGAGAGTAGAAAACTATGGCAAAGTGGATGTGGGGTCAAGGAATGGTTATTAAAATGTAAGAGGTACTAGAGCAGGAAGTACACTGATGGGAATGAGCCAGGAGAGAAGAAAGGTATGAAGGAGGGGAGAGAGAGTAGTAGTTGTAGGAGCAAAGTGATGAGAATGAGAGTGGGTGGGATCCCAAGCCAAGCAGAGGGATGGCCTTTGATCAGAACAGAGATTCTTCTTTGGGAAGCAGGAAGGCAGGCAGAGAGCTTTCGTTCATTTGGAACTCAGTAGATCTGGCAGGGGGAAATGAGGAAGAGTTCCTACTGGATAGCTTCTATTTTCTCCATGACGTATGAAGAGCTGGAAGTGAAGGAATAGAGAGGGGTTCAAGAGGCTTGAGAAGGTAGGAGAAGGTGTGAAATTGTGGCTGGAGAAGTGAAAAGCAAACACGGTGAAGTGTGGCAGGACCGATGGGCAGTACAGATGCGTGTTTGAAATGTGTGGTCATGAAATTAAAGATCTGCCAGCACAAATGTGTATTTTCCCCCTCCGGCAACGTTCATTTGTACAAATGCAGGCCTAGAGGAAGTGAATAGGTGGGTTTAACCAAGATTATCACTTTTCCAGGCAAGTATGACCAAAGGAAGAAAGGTATTGGTAAAGAGTGCTTGCAAGGGATTGATAATAACAGTGAAGCTTGAAATCTAAGCTGGATGAGGTGGGAAGTGGCCATGAGAGAAATACTGATAGCAAAAAAAAAGCGGTAGTCAAGGTCACAAGTGATGGAAACAGGTGGTACTAAAATGGCTAAACCGGAAGTATTTAAGATGGTGATCAGAGACTAGAATGCTTGCAGCTCAGATTTTGGAGATGAGATACTTACTGATGATGACTTGGTTTAGGTTATGACAATCGGAATGGGTGGCTGAGGAGGGGTAGAAAAAAAGATCACTGAAAGTATGGAGGTCAAGGAACTGAGAGGCTAAAGTATTTAGTAGATCACCCACATGGTTGTTGAAGTCACCAACAATGGTGATGTAGAAATTGTGCAAAGGAAGACAGAAAGGAAAAATAACTAAGTATCTCAGGATGCAAACCTTGATAAATGGCAGAGGCCAGATTCAGGCTCAGTTCTGACTGACTTCCAATTCCAGGCACTACTCACCAGATTGGTTGGTGAACTCATTCTTTTTCCTCTGTCCTTATCGCAGGTAAAGGGTCCAGGAGTTGGGCTGCTTGGGATTTCCAAAGGAGGTGAGCTCTGCCTCTCCATGGCCTCGTTTCTGAAGGGCATCACCGCTGCAGTCATAATCAATGGCTCCGTGGCCAATGTTGGAGGGGCCTTACACTATAAGGGTGAGACCCTGCCTCCTGTAGGTTTAAACGTAAGTCGAATCAGGATAACCAAAGATGGCTTTGCATACATTTGGGATGCCCTGAACAGCCCTTTGGAAGGACCTGACCAGAAGAGCTTCATTCCTGTGGAAAGGGCTGAGAGCAGCTTCCTGTTCCTTGTAGGTCAGGATGACCAGAACTGGAAGAGTGAATTCTATGCTAATGAAGCCTCTAAACGCTTACAGGCCCATGGCAAGGAGAAGCCTCAGATCATCTGTTACCCAGGGACGGGGCACTACATCGAGCCTCCTTACTTTCCCATGTGCCGGGCTTCCCTGCACACCTTAGTGGGTAGACCTGTCATTTGGGGAGGAGAGCCCAGGGCTCATGCCATGGCCCAGGAAGATGCTTGGAAGCAGCTCCAGACTTTTTTCCACAAACACTTGGGTAGGGAAAAGGAGATAATCCCACCAACACTTTAATCTTTGATTGTGTGGCATCTCTGATGCTAATTTATCCCGGGAACAGCTGTTGCAATTAGTGTGTAAGTGTAGTTTTTTTCTTTTTAATAATTACTTTAGAGTTTTTCCCTCCTCGCTGTTAAAATAAACTTAGCAATGAATTTTCAAGATTTTTATAAACTACGTGCCTTTTCAGTTTGGGAGGAAAGTGATTCTGTAGAAAACACAACAGATGGAAAAGGCATACCTTTTAGTCTCTCCCAACACACAAGGCTTTAGTTCTGAAAGAAAAGTAACACCGATTAACAGTGACTCATACATAATTGGTGCTCAGTAATGACTTAATTATTTACTATCACTTGTTGAATATGTTTAGTAATTAGATTTGATTAATAAAATATTACCTACCATAGAAGAAAAGCACATAATACCAAAAATATCAGATTTGAGGTTTTCCTTTAAGAGTGGAAGTGAACAGCTCTGGCCAGTGTGTCTTAGTGGTTGAGCGTCGTTCAGTGCACTAAGAGGTCACAGGTTAGATTCCAGGTGAGGGCACACGCCCAGGTTTCGGAGTCCATACCCAGTAGAGGATGTGCAGGAGGCAGCCCATCGATGTTTCTCTTCCATGGATGTTTCTCGTTCCCTCTCTATCTCCTTCCTCTCTCTCTAAAATCAATAAAAAACCATATTTAAAACAAAACAAAAGAATGGAAGTGAACATCTTAGCTGTAAATTACTAGTTAGGTTACTACTTACATGTAAAACTACTAAAAATTTTCATAGCAAATGTATTTTCAGTTCTTTGATATCTTCTCCTTGGATGAATAAGTATTCTCCTACTGCTAATAAATTTTAAGTTATGTTTCTGTTTACACATATGGGCCTTTATGATTTAGTTGTTTTGAAAGCTGGCAAAACATTTAGATGAATTACATAAGTGATTTTAACAATGATTAATGTGAAAATAAATGATTTAATATTTACATCACTGATATAAATAAATAGTTCCACAATAGGCTTACTACACTTTTCTTAAAGCCTAATGTATTTAAAATTTAAAAATGCCTTAACTTATGATTATGGTGTTAGTTTCTCAATTATCTTTTTATTTTTTTAATATATATTGATTTCAGAGAGAGGAAGAGAGAAGTAGAAACATCAATGATGAGAGAGTTGTCATTCATCGGCTGCCTCCTGCATGTCCTGGACTGGGGACAGAGCCTGCAACCCAGGCGTGTGCCCTGACTGGGAATCGAACGGGGATTTCCTGGAACCTAGGTAGATGCTCAGCCACTGAGCCACACCTGGCCAGGCCTCAATTATCTTTTTTAATAAAGTAATTCTTGACATTTTTCCACCTGAAAATCAAAAACAGTACAGTGCTTTTTGTTTGGTCAGCTTTTTCTTGTATGTGTGTGCTCGTCATTTAATCCTCACCAATCTTTAAGGCAGGTGAAATCTTTATTTTACCAATGAGGAAACAGAGTCTCAGAAGTTCTTCACACAGTAAATGTAGAGCTGGGGCTCAGTATCCCCAAATCCTGTTTCTTCTCTCTTTGTTAAGCTGCTTCCCTTATCTCTGTGGTTCTTCATTTTATTTGGGCGCAGAGCCATTTGTCCATCAATTCCTGCCTCTTCTCATCCACCCAGTAGAATGCACGTTTGTATACGTTTGCTCACATTCACACACACAGTGTGGTGTTCTTAAGGTGCATCATGAATTTTCTTAAAGCCCATCCGTGCTCTCTGCAGGATAACCAGTTGGGAACTGTGGAGAGTAGTGGCAAAGTTGAACCAGCTCACTGGAGCTTTAAGGACATGTAAACTGTCAAACCGGTGTCATTTCTTAGTTTTTCCAAAAAAATATTTTATTTTTTACTGACATGTTGAAGTCTATCAGTGTCCAATATTTTGTTTTTATTTTTTGTCTTAGTTTTGTGGTGATATTACCACAGGTACTGAGTTTACTTCATTTCCTGAGTAATAAAAAAAAATTAGATGATTCCCTGTCTGGTGTAGAAAAATAGATGATTTCTTCAGCCTCGCAATCAGCCACCATCACTCTTGGGCATCTCTTCTCTGCATCAGCTCTTCAGAGTGTCAAGACAGAGTGCTGATTGAGCTGACAAGAATATTCTATCTTCCATACTTGTTGAGAGATTCGTCAGAAACAGGTTCTAGGAACATGACACAGACTTCTTACTTTCCTCACTATTTTGGCAACATACATTTGTTCACTATTTCAATACTTGTTACTATTCCAATGTCACAAAAATTTCTGCTAGGCAGAAACTTTACCTCTGTCCTCTTAGGGTTTCTGGTTGGGCCTGAGAATTAAATTGACATAAAACAGATGAACAAGAAAAAAGCTCACCAATTTTATTTTTACATGTACATAAAGTCTCTACAAGAAAACGAAGACCCAAAGAAGTTGCAAAACCTAAGTACATATATACTAGATTAAACAGTGGCAACTGTAGAAAAGTAAAATATACAGGGAAACTAAAGGAAGAGAAATTTTAACACGATCTTGTGCAGAATTCTCTCAGCCTTAAATCCTATTTCTGGTGATAAAACTGAATTTCATCTTCTGCTTTTAGGGGAAAGGGGAGGAATGAGTGCCCTTTTTGCACCTACTGTTTTTCAAGTGCCTTTAGCTCAAAATAATCAATATGCCAAAATGACATGTTTGGAAGTAGCATCCCCTGAGCCCCTTCACCTGACTTGTTTCCAAAGTGTCTCTCAGCCCCACTTGATTTTGAGAATTGAAGATAAACAGGGAGGAGAATTTTCATCTTGCAGTGAAATACTGCTATGTGCTTAATTTCTTCTTGTTTCCTAAAATGTATTTTCTAATGTCAAATTCCTTGTTCAAATCTAAGTACTCAACAGTCTTCTAAAAGTCAACTGCAAAATTCCATAATTAGTCTCATTAATAGTCATAACTTCTGTTAATCCCATATTTCCTTTCTTGCCTTCACTTTGAGCCTCTAAAGAGCCATCAATACCATAACGGGTCTCCTCCACTGCTCTCAGGGATACTGCCAAGTGCCAGCATATGTTACCAGGCTTCCTTATACAAGAGGTCCTGATTTTCATTTTGATACTGCCCTATGAGCTTCAAGGAAAGCTAACTCCACCCTGAAGCAAGGGCAATCAATGATGGTGACCCCTGTTTGGCTTAAGCCAATCTCAACATTCCATCCAGGGGAGAGTATGTGACTTCAGTGACATACTTGGAACTCTCTCTTTCCCACTAAACACGAACAAAGAAGCATGAAACCCCAATTACTCTGACAGACACCTTCTGATATTGCAAATGGCAGAGCAGATAGAAACAGTTCTTGGTGTCATCACTAAGCAAAAGCAGAAAAACACTAAAGCCCTGGCTGGTGTGGCTCAGTGGTTAGAGAGTCGGCTCCCCCCCAAAGGATCTCGGGTTCGATTCCCAGTCAAGGGCACATACCAGGGTTGCCGGATCCATCCCCCCTGCCCAGGATGTGTGCAGGAGGCAATGGGCCTGTGTTTCACATTGATGTTTCTCTCTCTCTCCCTCTCTCTCTGAAATCAATTTTAAAAATATTTAAAAATATATATCCTCGGGTGAGAATTAACCAAAAAGGGGGGGAGGGGGTAGACACTAATGAAAACACACTGAAGGGTTAATTCCCATTAAATGCAGTCAGAAAAAAATCGAACTGGTTTTGTGGGAGCCAGGATAGAGCACTTTGGGGAAGGGGAAAGTGAAAGTGGTTCTGGAGCGCTGGCAATGTGTTTGTTTCTCCATCTGAGTGCTTGCTTACGCGGCTGTGTTCAGGACGTGACAATTCGCCGAAGTGTACATTTTCAGGATTTGTGCACTCTTCTGTATTTACGTTATAATCCACTAAAAGTTTTTTTTAAAGCTACCCTTTTCCACGGGAGAGGCTGGAATTCTTGGAATTCTGCCTAAACTCAGTTCTGGTTTCACCACGAACCGATAACCCGACTTGCATTTCAGGGGCGGAGAATGGTGGGAGGCTAAGAAGCATCCTCGCGGTTGGGCGCCACACCCAGACCCCAGGCCGTCCCTGCGCTCCCCGCCCCATCAGGAGAGCTTCGCGCTTTTACCTCTGAGGAGTCCCGAGTCCCGGGCGCGAAGTCCACGGCCCTGAGGAGATCAGACGTCTCCAAAAGCGACTCGGTCACCGACGGCTCCCGGGGCCTGAGAACGCCTGATCCCGTGCGACCTCCCAGCGCGCTCCCCGCGGGCTGGGACGGGATTCGGACCCCAGCCGGCGCTTCCCCGCTCGCGGTCCGACCCGAGCGCAGCGCGCGCCCGGAATGGCGGCGACCGTGACGCTGGAGCCCGCGGGCCGTTCCCTCTGGGACGAGCCCGTGCGCATCGTCGTGCGCGGCCTGGCCCCGGAGCAGCGG